CCTCAATGGAAATCATAACACCATCTCGCCATCGCTGCGTTATGAAGAATGCATTACCCACCCCGTTACGATCATATGGTGGTGGTATCTTTTCATCGGGGCGGAAGACTCGGACAAGACATCTTCCGTGGATGTTTTCCTGTCCAATAGTAAACTCTTCGTCAGTGTAGACAACTTCGTTGGGTGAAACATTCATGTCGGGCTGCAGGCGATGTCTGCGCTCCAGGCGGCGAAACGTTACTTCGCCTTCGGCGTCGGGGAGAGCTACCAACTCGCAGGGCTCGACTGTAGCGTCGTTACCTGGCTCTATGCTCACCAACAAAGTGTCTCCTGCTAGATAAGGAAATTCTGGTCTTGCTTGGCGGTGAGGGCATCGCAGGTGTTGCTCTCTGAACGTGATCCATTTTCTCTCTTCGTGGAGGTACGTCTGGCGACAAAAGAACTCTGCGTCGGTTCCAGACGAGCCTCCCCAGTCTACTTTGTGGACGGCCAATACCTCATCCTCCTTGATCTTTCCGACGGCAGCGTCGCCGCAGGTACAGTGGTCGGAGAGGAAAAGTTCGTTATTCCACGGATATCTCATAGTGCCGCAGAGTGTATGTGTCGGCGTGTAGATCCAAATGACATCGAAGCTCTTCTGCCGTGAATTGTGGTTATCGTGGACTTTTTGGACAAGCCCAAACCAGCAGTCGACATCACTGAAGCCAGAAGCGGCTTCTCGAACCCAATAGTCTTCATTGTCGTCTCTATGCGTGGAAATCACATCTCTGACTCGTACTTCCTGTCCGGTCTTCTCGACTATGTCCTTGGCTGCTGTATGAACTCTTGTAGCCCCCTCCAAGCCCAGGCCTCGAATGACGCCCCTTCGGAGCTTTCCCACCCTTGCGCTCGGACTAGTTGCCTCCATCATCGGTCCACAGGGTAGATGATGAAAGAGGTCGTTAACGTAAGGGGTTACTACTGTTCTGGGTATGTCAGCGGGCTGGCGCGTTTTGGGAGGCTTTGGTGTTGGCGACGGTGAAGTTTGTGGCGTGTCAGCGTCGCTTCCACCGGTCTTGAGCATCTTCTCCTGGCTATCGGTGAATGCAGTGAAGTCGCGAATCTCTCTCCAGAGATAGATAGTTGTAGCTCGGTGTCCAAGGACTCCGTAGGCTTCCTTATAGATGAATTGGACATTTGGTACAATTGCTGTGCAGAAGTCCTCTCCGGAGTATTGCCTCCGCCATTTGAAGAAAGCATCCGAGTGACCATGCGTATCTGCAAGCCATCGTGAGAAGTCGGATCGAAAGTCCCGGAATGTGACACGACGGCTTTGGTCTATAGCAGCGGAGAGATAGTCCACCACGTGCTTAGCCAGATCTGCAACCCAAGTAAACCCGGCATAGTAGCGTCGGTACTCGGGAGCCGGGCTTCCAAGCCGATAATACACATCTGGACCTTCTCCTTTGGCGATGGCAACGTTATAGTTGGAGCGTATCCAGATTTCAGAGCCGACTGTGGCCTCGGATACTCCGTAGTTGCCGATAGGCAATTCGTTGAATGGAATTTGCCGAACAAAGAATTGCCTCTCTCCCACAGACAAGACACCGTCGACGTACATCTGAGTGCAAGCGGTCTGAATACTCAGATGTTGCAGGGGACGCATCTCGCAGGGATACCGTTTCTCCCTGTAAAGCTTCATGTTGCCACCCGGTACCGTAGCGTCAATGTACACGGCGAAGTCATCGATCTCGAACTCAATGAAGTTTTGATCTCCATTGTCGCTGTTCTGCTGTATCTCTTGGAGCAAAGACCGAACCGCTACCCATTCTCGTTCGCTAGGTCGCTGCTCTTCGCCTTGGTAAAGACTCGCCGGCCTGGTAAGAGTGCTGAAAGGAATATCGACTGATATGTTCCGCCGAGGTGTGCTAGTTATCGCAGGTAGAAAAGTGCCTATTTTTTTGCCATCTTCGTCATACACCGGCTGCTCCTGTAACGGGGCTTCTGGTACCGCGTCGACCAGCATCGGCGATCCAGGGATAGGCGGTGCGGACAATTCATCATCGACGAAGGGTGGCGGTGCTAATGCTCCCAGACCTTGAAAAGGCACGCGATCCTCGAAGTCAGGTATTTCGTTGTTGTCGTAAGCATTGAAGAAAGGGTCCACAAGTAGATCCAAGTCATCCTCCCAATTGTGAGGGAGACCGCCATCAAAATCCCCCATTTCCTCTTCCTCTTCCTCTTCCTCTTCCTCTTGAGTAAGCGTTAGTGAGATGAGCCAACATGATATTGAAAGACAAAGAAAACATACCAATAAGCGGAGGAGGCATGGTCGATGTAGGTACGGCCCGAGTGTCGCACACGCATCAAATCCCTGCCTGGTGGGTGCTTTGTTTGCCGAACAACAGGGTAAGGCTTGAGGCTCAGCTGTATGTTGCAATCGGAATTGATTGAGGCCTTGCGGGAAGGAGTGGTCAAAGTGAGGTCGGTGAAGTACCTAGTCGCGTGTCTAAGCGAAGGAGGCGCGGTCGTTAATTGTGATGTCTTTTCTGAAAGGTAATGATCAAGTATTGGGCACCTCGGTGAAGTAGAAAAAAGGTCCAGCGAAGAATCTCGAATTGACCGATTTGAGTGAGTGAGAGACAGGTGTGAAGGTGGGTTGGTATAGTATGGATTTAGGCGATGGCAAGGTAGGGTGGTTACGCTGGCAGAAGGCAAACCACGACTAGCAATGGAAGGCGAGGTATCTTTTGCGAGGTCTTTCCTTCCTCAGAAGAAAGTACTAGACGGCGTAGATACCTAAGGTAGGTGAGAAATGTTCAATAATGAGAAGAGAGTACTAAGTATCTCAGTCTCGCCAAAGGAGTACCGAAGAGGGCAAGAAATCGGAAGAGCTCATCTACATTAGGATTTGAGCTTAGCATCCAGAACGATTGTTGACTTTCAGCCATTCTACAACAGCTGTCAGCGAATCTAATTGGGTAAGCGCGATCCACAATTAGTACCATGCCGCTGCCCGTTCCTGCAGCGGCAAGCGCAGGGTTTTCCGGAACCTCGAAAGTCACTTGCACAATACCGTGGTATACTACCTGTGTATTGAGCGTACTAAGTTCGGGCACTGCTTAAGGCGACGGCGCCTTGAATGAAACATTGTAGCATTAGGTAATATATTGTGCCTTTTTTGTTGGTATAAGAAACATGCAGAAGTATTTCAGGGTTTTATCCCATGAGGTGTTCTTTGGTGATTCCAACTTGTCCCAAGTACCTGAGCAATGAATTGAAGAAATGTCACGCCCTGCGCCTTGCATGGATTGGTTTTTAGCATAAGCCGAGGCAAGCCAATTGTGTTTCCACTTCTAAACAGTAATAAACGAGTATATCTTGGCATCTTCTTTAATTATTGAGTTGGGTATCTTTTGAAAGTTCAACAGCAGTTCCTAGTTTATAGACAAAAACCTAGGGCTCCACTTTACCATCCTCCTTTTCTTCTCTGTACTCGAGCACAATTCTCCTGACTTCGAAGACGACTTCGACAGCAATGAGGATAATGATGATCCACTCCAGTCTCGTACTATGCTGCTCGCTCGACATCTCCCGCAGGACACTCGCAATTTCTTGAGCATAGTCCATCTTCTGGTTCAACGTCCGGATTCGTACGTTGACGTCCAGCGCACGGCCAACCTGCTCATAGTAGCCTTCCAGACCCAGTTCGGATCGGCTGTCCCAGAAGATGTCTGGAAGAGAGTCAGTGAGTTCTGAATAGTGGTTGAGCCTCGCGCGAAGGCTCAACAGCTCGCCCGTCTTTTGCAAAATGAACTTCCTGCCCAACGGCAAGCCAGAACCCTTTGATAGCACAGAGGGAATCTTTCTGGTGCTCTCAAAGTAAGCCGTCAGCGCAGTTTCCAGCACTGCAAGCTTTGTACTTCGGGCCAATCCGGAAGAGAATGCAATCTTGGCGAGGGTCGTGTCCAGCCTGTCGCCGTCTCGCTCTTCGAGCTTTGTGCCTAGGACTACGATATCACCCTTCATACTGCTCGTCTCCTTGCTCGGATCGGACACGTACTCCAGGTCCTCCACCTCCCGAAGAGCCGGCTTCAGCGGCGTTTCTGCCGCATTCAGCAACTGCTTCGTGACAACGTCTGGGGGCAGGGCCCAAGTGACAATTGTTCCCGAGGGAAAAACGAAAATATCACCGCCGTTGACACCTCGTGCGTGGACAACCTCGCTCGCCTCGAACCCGCTCTGGTATGGATCAATATCAAACCCATGGGCCCGCAGAATGTCCAGAACTGCTCCCATATTAAAAGCTTCGGCAACACACACAGCGTTTATCAGTGTAGGCGCAGACACATCCATCGTCTCTGCTGGCACCTCTCCTGGTTCTCGTTGCGCCGGTCGCTGGGCAATAATCGCTACGCGCCGTAGGGAGTTCTTTGCGCCGGCGGAGCGCACCGCCTTACGCTTCGGTGCTGTGAGCTGAGATGATTCGTCATCTTCTTGCCTTGGTGGCCTCGCGGTCGGCTCGCCAGTGCTCTGGGAAAGGTAAACGTTCGAGGTGAAGAAGGTCCGCTTTCGAGGCATGCTCGCTGGTGTTGTGACATGGAAGTATCGCTGCGGGCAGGGCGTGGAGCGAGCGGTGTGCAGCCCGCGGCTGAGCAAGGATGCTATTGTGAAATGGGAAGGCCGCATTTTGAGCTTCGAGGCACCATTGAGCAATTCTAAGACATAAAGACAAGGAGAGAAAAAAATAACGTTGCTTCGCAGTTTCGCAGATGGCAGCTGTTGGTTTCTAAGAACCTTATGGAACCTTACCTAGGTAGGTACAAGCAGGGATCCTTTTCTTATCGATTGAGCTACCTTATCGCACGTGATGCATTGCGGAAAGCTTCCCGCAGTCGCGACGTTCGCCCCCGGTCCTTTTTTTCTATGGAACTTCATCAAGCTCCCCTAAGCCAAACGTTAAGTAGCCTCGTAGCATCTCAATCGCGGGATCACGAGGTTTTGCTAGCGAAGATGGGGCAATGCGGCCGCCGCCCATTTCCAGATCACACGGTATTGTCGTGACTAGGGGCCGATGGGTGCTTGGCCGCGACTGGCAAGCTGTGAGTACCTTCTCCATCTATGACAGCTCTCTCGGACTCGTAGTTAACGTGGTTCTTCGACCAAACAGCTATCCCAACGGCACAGCTACCAGCCCAGCCATACTGCCGCCGCAATACAACAAACACCTTCTTGGCAACTGATCAGACCGTTCAAACGGTCCCCCCAGTCACATGAAGCGCCAAGAGCCCCATCACGGCGCGATTCGATACGGATTGTGCGCCACGAGCGGTCGATATTCTCAGACTTGCTCCTTGCCGATGCTGCCGAACTGTATCGCCTTCCCTCCGAACCACCATCCGAATCCAAGCTATCCAATCTCCGGTTCCTAGCACAGTTGAGGTCCCCTCAGCTCAGCGTCATCACCGCACAGGAAATCCTCCGCCAGGTCCCAGAGCTCAGACCAGACATTGCGCGCCTGCTATGTGACAGTCGGCAATGGCAGGCAACCCTACGACAATTATCCGCAAGAGGTCATACACAGGCGGATGTGTCTAGTTGGGCTTGGATCATTATCCCGCGCGAACCGGACAAGAGGGTCGAAAGATTCCTAAGCAGACCAGGTCATAAGCCACTGTTTGTCTTGTTCTACCTGCTCACTAGCAGGCCGTACTTTCAGAGCTCCGAATCCTTGTTGGGGCTACTGAGGTACTGTAATGAATGGTATGCGGAACGACAGAAGTCGTACAACGATGCGACGCAGGCCTTTGACTTGGACTCGGTAATTACACCGGTTTTGTTTAGCAAATTGCTGGACAAAGTGTGTCAACATGCGAGCAGACTGCAGCCCGATGCGTTGCCTGATATCGCGGAGCTCTCAGTATCATACATCAAAATTATCCCGCATGGCCATCGCCAACCAGACAAGGCGTACAAGTTACAATGCCTGGTCCTCAATCGCGCTATACAGGCTGTATCTGTCGTATCGAGAAAGTCCCCGTATCAGTATAGCTCTTACAATTGGACAGCTGTGACGAAGCTTCTGTCACTATCTTCTACCTCGGAGAAGACCCTAATCATTGAGGAAGAGAGCTATCGGGCGATTCGGCAAGTCTTGCTAGCACTACCAAAAACAGCTTCAGAACGAGACACGGCCAGCACACTTGCCAGTCACTGGCCCCCATATCGGATTATGCGCGATGGCATGGAGGAGAAGTCTGGTCCTGAGGCCTACCAAAGCCGAGTTGTTAAGGCCGGTATCATGATGCAAGAGGGTGGATATAGCAAGAAGGATTTCGACTTGATCACGGATATCCTAGGTGGCATGGCTCCTGATGGCTCACCAACGGTCCAGACTAGGGCGAATTACCCGCGCCACCTTCGCTTTGAGCAAGGCGCATGGGCAGCTCAGATCCGTACGACTCGAAATGCACAAGAAGCTTGGGCCCTGTTCAAACATCCCCCAGAACCAGGGATGAAGCCAAAGTTTGAGGTGTACAGAGAATTGATAGCCAAGCTCTCCGCAAAGCCAGCAAAAGCCGGGCATCACAATCTCCCTGGAGATGGGAGAGAGGTTTTCCCCTACAACGACGAGAACCTCAGCGACTTCGAGAGGGCGCGGACCAACCCACCCAGCATTCGCAAGATTGTAGAAGAGATGTACAACGCAGGTATTCCCATCCGTGGACCATTCTTGGCTGGACTTATCAAGCAGTCACCCAGCATTGACGTCGCGTTGCATCACGTCGATTGCAGTAACTTGGAGGAAGGACTCAAAAGCAGTATTAGACAGAGCCTGAAAGACTACCAAGGTCTCACGGGGAGTGTGTTGACAAACCCGCCTCACGACATACTACACGCATTCATCGACCTGCTTTGTCGCCTTCAACCAAACCGAACATCGAATACACCCTCGCACATCTCCAACAAGAGCATGTATAGCATCCACTATGCATTTCAACTTGCGCAAATGGGCTGGGCTTCAACTGACGTCTCTGGGCGGGCGCCATGGGAGACGATACTGTTCAATTTGGGCAGATCAAACATCATGGTCAGCAACAGCATGCCCTCGGAGAACAATTTAGAAGTGATGCATCTGGCGGTCAAAGCCCTAAAGATGGCTGAGGGACATTCCGGGCTCAGTCTGAACATGATCACTGCATTTGCCAGTGTATTACGGAAAGCGGTTCAGCCCCGACTTGCCACCTTGCTTATCAAAGATGTGGCCAAAACGCCAGTCCATCCTGAGGAACAGGCAACTGACGAAATGACAACGGGAAGCTCGCGCGGAGAAGATGCGGCCGCTTCACGGATTTTAGACGAAGATGAAGAGTTTCTGTCGCTGTATCAAGCGCGGACCAGCAAGATCAAGAACCCCAAGGGCCGCATCTATCGACTTCATGGCCCTTCCAGCAAGTTATCATATCGCAAAATTCTTACCCCTATCTTTCAACGCGAAGAGTTGGGCCACAGCCAGACACCAATCGAGGCAGTACAAAAAGCATCGAGCCAACTCAAGGCCGCGTGGAGAGCACTCGCCACCCTAGGTCCGGCGTCCAAACCCGATGTGAACAAGCTCGTGACAGCAGCGACGATCAACACATACATGCGCACACTCGCGTTCCTCGGCGATCGCGAGGAGATGGTTCTGCTGATGTGGTGGATCATCCGCGAGTGGACTCCCAAGGCCGGCGGGAACCTTTCCTTGGCGCACGCGCGATACCTTGCGAGGGCATTCCGTGCGTTCCGAGCCTACGCGGAACCTTTGCTCGACCAGGAGACAGTGATGGCTTTACGCGAGGAGGTCACGGCGCTGAGCGATAGCAGGAACGGGGGACCGATGCACTGGCCTTCCGATGAAGAGGTGGAGGAGTATATATACGAGGATGAGTGGGGAAATCATCAGAACCTACATGAAGTCATCAAGCGTGGCCTGGCCATGAGGCAAGAACAATCTGGGTTGGAGGAAGTCACTCGGGAGAACGAGACACCCGACCAAAAATGTCGGATAGGAGTTGGACGTGTAAGATATGTATAATCATGACCACCCACTACATGATGGGAATCTACAACAGAAAGGGCCAGCATGGCAGGCGTCGTGCATCAAAAGGGATAGAATCGGGGAATACTTGGATAGATACCCAATTATACCAACACAAAGTTAACTCACATCAATGATTCCGGCCAGTTGTATCTTGAATGCATGATCTTGAAAAGCAGCATCGTCTATTAGATTGAAAATTGCAATGTCTATGTTCCTCTTCCCTTTAGAGGCTGTATCTTTCCTCCTTGATCCAGAGGCCGTAAGCTGCTCCACATAGCATGTCCATGTTTTCCTCATTCCTGTCCAAGAATAAACCAACGGGCCAGGTGACTACTCCTCGATGCTCTCTCTGGGACGCTTGATCTCAGGCATCTCACCATCGGCGCCCTTTCGCTTCGCGGAAGTCACGCGCACAATTCGCGAAGGTGTGCTCTGCGGTGAGTCTACTCCGAGATCTTCGCCGGGTTCGATCTTGCTCACAAAGCGAGTCAAGCTCTTCTCCCTCTTGATCAAACGCAACTCCTCAGTCGTATGCTCGAGGAGGGCGCAAGCAAGGCGGGGGTGAATGAGCAGGAGATCCTTGACTCTGCTACGTAGGCCAGCGTCCGTCTCATACTGCGGCATGATCATTTGCAGAGCAATCTGCAGTCCCTCCTCAATCTGATAATTGTTGAGTATGTAGTTGACGGTGTCGAGAAAGTCAGCATGATTGGTGTGGTTAGGCGCGATGGCTAGGAGTGCGGTTTTGGCCTGATCTTGTAATTTGGCCATGTTGTACGTCCTTGCTTTAACCGGGACGCAAGCAGTGAGGAAAACGCAGTTCTTATTGTAGTCGAGCTCATCGACTGTGCCTTCCTCGTTTGCCTGAGGTCTCTCTGGTTTGTTTTTGAGGCAGGGAACGTTGAAGGGCGTGTAAACACCTGTGTACAAGTACTTGAGGATCGCCTTGATACTGTTTGCTCCGGTGAGGACGAGACGTCCATTCTATAGGCGTTTTGTTAGCGAAGACACCTTGTTTAATGAGTGCTCTTAAAGCTAGAGCAGTTACAACTTACCACCAGAGGCAACTCCTCCCAATCCTTGCATTGACTGAAGACAACACACCGATGGCAGTGAAAGACCTTCTCCGACGCCTCGATCGTCAGGTCGCTCCATTTGCTGGAGTTGAACAGGCTGCCGAGGTCAATACCCACCATATTGAATCTCCTGCTTATGTTGCGTAGAAATTTGGAAGTGTGCTAGGGATAGAAAGGTTCTATACGGTATGATGTTTGAGATAGTAATCAAATTGAAGTGATATGAATGGAAAGAAAGCGGCTCTTATAAAGCTATCTCCAAGCTTAGTCTCTCCTCGTTCGGTTTGTTTGGTCAAGTGAGAGATGTAAGTATGTAAGAGGATGAAAAAGGAATAGAAGAGTTGGAAGGAGAAGGGCTTTTTATTGACGAGAAGCCTCTTCCAGTTCCTCTTGGCCCCAGAGAGAGAGAGGCAGGAGGTTGGTCTTTCTTTCTCTAGTCACTTTGCAAGTCGATTCTCACAGGATCTCAGAAGCAATAGCGTAATTGAGGAGATTCATTCTTCCACGTTAGTTCCTTTCGCGACATACCTCGCGGATATCATAAAACCATCGAAAGCACAAGTTCCAGTCATCGAGTCCAGCTCTTTCCTCACCAGCGAGTATCCTCACGTTCCTGGCGCTACGTTCTTGTATTAACACCCCCCCCCCCTTCCTTCTCAGATCCTCATAACGACCTATATCTCCCCTTCTAGCACCGGATATTGTTCAGCGCTATGAGAAGAGGAACGACCTCGTTTCTTGTAGCCTTGAACGATTTTGAACTCAAAACTGTCGTCGCGAACCGCCTCTGCCTCTCTTCTCTCCCGGTCTCGCTCTCTTTCTCTCTTCCTATCACGTTCTCTATCACGCTCATCCTCGACCCAAAACTAATCAGCTCTATAACCCTGAGCTCGAAGATCAGAGATCTTCTCTTGTGCCTCGACAAAATCTTTTTGGGTCTCAGACAGGGCGTCCAAGCTTGCTTCCATTACGTCGAGGGCAAGCTGCGGGTATTTGAGCATGGTGGGTTTTAGTCGATCCTGCAGCCGACTGCTGATCAGACAGTTCTCTGCAATGGTTCTTGCAATACTTGCGAGGTGGATGGGGAAATTTGGGGGCTGGCCACACGACTCGTAGAGCTCGTCGACCATGTCAGGGAAGTCGACGTGGTTTGTGAGTTGTTTCGCTGCCTTACACAATGCCCATGCCGATTCCCTATAGAGACCGAAGAGATCTAATTCATGTGCCAGCTTCATGGCATGGATGGACCAGTACATTGAGTGTGGCCTGTCATTGCCACTAGACTCGCTCGCTCGCCGGATCGCCACCTCGTATTGCGCTTCGTACTTTCCAGAGTACAAATATCGCAACATAGTGCCGAGAGCTTTGCCATCATATTTGAGATGGACGATGTCAACTCCGTTGACTTGGTTCTGTAAGGCAGGCTGTCAGAACAGATCCAACGAGCTCTAGGTAAAAGACTTACCAGTGGTCCAATGGAGGCCACCACATCTCTCAATCTCGGACATTGACTGAAGACAATATTGCGGTGAACGGAGTGCTCGGTCTCAACTCCATCATCATTATTGGTGGTGATGAGTCTTAGGTCGCTGTATTCGCCCGACTCTAGCAGCTGGGAGAGGTCCAGATCGCCCATGGCTGCGAGGATAGGGACGAAGGGTTTGTACAGAGTTGAGGTGATTAGGTAGATGGGCTTTCAAGTCGTCCAGCGACTTCTGTTTTCGTATGATGTCGATGAAGGGGGAATGAATGAAAGAAAAATCTCCGAGATGAAAGGTTGACAGACGATTATGGCTAGGTTGTCGAAGATGTCTTTGAACGTTGACCAGCAAAAAAATCAAGAATGTCTGCAAAGAAGCTAAAGATGAACCTAGGGTATAACCTAGGGTATCAGAATATAGAGAAGAAAACTCCATTGAGATAAATAGTAGGTACGTGGGCCCGTGGCATTCGGATAAAGGGGCGGCGGGATGAAGAGCTTGACGATTGGGTGGAACTTGAGAAGGAAGGAGCAGGCCTATCTTCGGTCCTTCCATTCTTTCTGACCTTCTTAGATTCAAGACAGAACTTGCGTGAATTCGTGGCGTGTATATTCGAGTGAATACCCATGGCTGGCGAGTATTCCTCGCTTAGACATGAAGGCTCTAGCTGCCGCGTCTCGTACCCCCTTATACCTATGCGCAGACAGATCTACTTGAATTCTATCCCTAAAGTCCAGATCTTTGTGTATCCTATATGATCGCAAGTTCAAATAGCATCCCATAATCAGTGAGCCCTCCTAGCTGGTCTACACTGGAGCCAGACACGTCGGTCGTAAGGGTCAACCGTCGCCCATCGTTATGATAGAGAAAGAGTCTCGAGATTTTTGAAGAACCATGTAAATTTATCATTCTTCTACTTTCAATAATTAAGATATTAAAAACCCGGGATTTAAAAGAGTGTTACGAATGTCAAGTGAGGCGTCTTGTCAAAAGCGCGATGAGCACCTTCCTCATCGTGCGGCAGAGTGACGATCATGGATCTGAGACTACAGCAACGCAACAGCGTGAAATGTAAGGTTGATGCCAGCTTGCCGTCCCAATCCTGAGAATTTCAAAAGTCTCGAAGAGGGTGGCCGATGAGCGCAGCCAAGCTCCCGATGTCGACCCCAGTGAAACTCTTGAAGACGCCACCAGCAAACGAGCTCAGCGAATTGCCCAACTTGGACTTGACACTCGCAACGAATCGCCACTGTAGATTTGGAGTCAGCCTCTGTTCTACACCACAATATGTGCTGGAACTCATGATTGCGTACCTGGAAGGCGTTCATGCTCTTGTCATGGTAGACAAGCCAGCGTGTAGTCTTCTCGTCATTCTGGCCGTACTGGAAAGAGGTGTCAACGACAACAGTGAACTCCGATTCGCCAGCAACCTGCTTCTTCTTGAAAGCGTCAAGGTAATTGGCTTGAATGAAGAGAACGCTCTCCTGATCCCCTATAGATAGCCGTAGTTAGTTCAAGATCGATCATCCATGTACGGTTTGGTATCAATATACCCTGGCTCTTATTGAAGAAGGGAACAGTGTGATACTCCTGGGAACGTTGCTTGGTGTTCTGCTGCCACTCAACAGTGACCTTGTTCTTGTCGATCTCGCCGGCCGAGACGAAAATTTTGTTGCCTTTCTCAACGACGCCCATTTTGATAGGATGTATGGGGATTGATTGATGAGATGGAGAACTTATTGCAAGAGGTAGACAGGTATTCGATGAAATTGCTTGATGGCTGGTACAGGAAAGAACCCATAGACTGCAGGGTAACCTCTTGCTTTTATAATTTTCTATCGTCTCGAGAGCGGTTTGCTGGAGCCAGTAGCTTTCTTCAGACTCCTTCTGTCCAAGGCAACAACCCCACATACAAATTCAGACACGCAACCATCGGAAAGACCTTGGGTCTCCCTGCCCGTACTTCCATGTGGGCTGTTCGTTGGCTGATCGCCTCTGCTTCGAGCATCGTGATATGTTCATCGTCATAATCGTGCCGACCGCACATCGTCAGGCAGCCTCATTCCATGTACGACTTGAAAAAGCTGTCGGCAGTCGTAGACATCGTATCATTTGCCGCTTCAAGAACCGCCACAAGTCCCCTTCATCCTCGCGAGCTGTGCTCTTCGCATCTAGCCATATTGCAGGTCTCATAGCTCGTAGGACTCAGCTCTCCACCAAGAGCTGATCGTTTTCAAGCGGCCAACTTCCCATGACATATAGCCCGGTCTCGAATACTGCCCACGACACTCCTAGGCATGTTGAGCTAGACATGGCTTATCGTGAGCCCCATGGGGCCAAATTTTGCGGGTTGAGAACGGCATATCTTTCTCTACTCCGGTCACTTATCATATTAATAGTCTCAATGAGCTCCTCAGCCTTCGGTAGGCTGTCTCATCCATTACGATATCGGTTCAAAGGGGTCTGCGAGATGCCCAGGTGGCACAGGCAAAACATGCAGATCGGCAGTTTGTGATAGTGGAAAGATGGAAACCCTCAGCTTGCCACAATCACAGACCCATACAGTGATGGAAAATGAATTGGCTACAAACGATTCATCACAAGTGGTTGTATTGCGTACCCAGAGTGGCTTGCAGTAGGACTCTGCTTACATTTGCCTGCCCTGTCTGCATTGCTCACCTGTACTCAGTATGATCTCTCCTCGGCCTTTGGTCAAAGCTTATACCCAATTGAGTAAAATTTATCCTCAAACGCCATATCATCATCTCTCGCCTGTCGTTACTGAGTTGGTTATTGCGCCCTTCCTTAGAGCGTAAACCAAATGGTGGATGGGAGAGAGTATCAACAACGATTGCCGACAACTTTACACCCCATGCAATCCTGCCCATTGATTTCACCATCGTATTTATCATGGAGATTTACCTGACATTAGTAGTGTAGAGTCACTTTTGGGATTGCGGAGTTCGGATTTTCAGTGTGGTGACGTTGCTTCCTTCACATGTGGCTGGCTGAGGCAAACCCCGCAAGTTCACACAACTATCTAGGGCTATTTTTGGTCGTCCACACGTCTCAGTCTAGGTAGCCATGTTGTTAGGGCTGGCCACTTTAGTCGTCCGCACGTCTCACCTTAGGTAGCCATGTTGTCTACACCAAGCGGTGCCTGCTGGTTCTAGTTAACCATGGGTTAAGAGCATGGCAAAGTGGAGTTGTTCACCTTCGTTGTTGAGTACCTAGTCTCTCAAAGACTTGAGCCTTTACAGAACTGGTAACTGCCTCACTTTGGGTACGACATCTCTCAAGGCGCTGCAATGACCTGCTTGTGACAGTCATCACACTAGGACCGGAAAGCATTCGAGATTTCGTGCGCAGCACTGAGGTGTGGAATCCGCTGTGGCAGGTCTTTTCCTGTTTTAGGGAGGTCATAAAGTAGAAGGTAATTAGTAGCCACGCACCAATATGAAAGTGCAGGCAAGTTAGCCTTGTTTTCGGAATTAAGAGGCCCTACATGGAGTGGAGCTGAGTGACGATACTTTAGTTCTGATACTTTAGTTCTGATTGTAGCAAGGCTGTAACTGTTCGGCGTTTGGAAGGGACATACGTGTTCCCTGATTTCTCCAACACCAAACATTGATCACACTAAATGGGATAGTGAAGTGAACCAAGTTGATTTGATAATAGAACATTTGTATAAAACTTGTCCAAGTTATAAGCTTGAATGAGGCCTAAACTTTGCTATGAGGAACTTAGTCCCGCGATTAACCCATCTTAGGCCCAACCCCTCGCTGTTGTTGCCGGCCGGTCGGAAAGTAGTTCAGACGGATTCAGAGCCATACTGAGTATCCAGCAGCACACTCAATCTTTCGAATGAGACAGCTTTCTGTGTCACACACATACACAAAGAAAGATACACAACTTTGACGCAAATGCCACTAGTTTTTGATTAGGATACAAAGTGTCGGCTACTCGAATCACTCTATACACATGGAGCCAACCCCCCTTATCCCCTTTCCACCGTTCCGCGAGCCAAGGTGATACTATGATTCCGTTTCCCCTTCCCCACGTTGTGCGTTTGATTTCATGGAAAACAGAAGAAAAGAAGAAGCAAAAACCTTCCTTCCTGTTGTGCCAATGTGGCACAAACCACTTCCATGTCGACACACCCTCCGTAAAACTGAGAAAAAGAACAGTCGCCCTTCCTGGCGATCATCTACCGAGTTTTGTCAACTCTCCTCCGAAAACTTTCTAATAACACAAGGGCCAGAACGCCAAGAGTCACAGGGTTGTTGGTCGAATCGAGAGGTTTCTCTCATGCAACTGCTTCCTCATGTACCCATCCATCCATCATCAATCAGACCACCACTTTTGCGTCGCTCAGTACAGCGGAACCCGCTGTCCCGAGTCGCAGGCGAGATTTGTAGAAAAAAAAAAGTCCTTGTCTCTCACACCAACTCCGAAAGGACATCGCTTCCCTGGCTATTCAGACACCGTAGAGTAAATGGAAATCGGCATTTTGTTGACGCAATGTACACCACGGCCGACTGAGCCGCAGATCGTAGGCATCATTTTTTTGCCGAGCCGGGCCGCGGTGAAAGTTGCACAGGTTGAGGCGGAGGCTTGGCAGATTGCGTCGTCTTCTGACCACCGTTCCGTGCTGCGAGCTCTGCCAAAAGTCCGCTGGACACTGGAATAGGCCTCCGCGGATACAATTCCTGTGGCGGTAGGTAAGGATTGCCATATGGCTAGTTTGGCTTCCTGTACGGCTGCTGTTGAGGTATGACCGGAATGGGCACCGGTGTCACTTTGTGCGGGATTGGTGGAGTTCCATTCGGCTTTCCTACACTACCGACAGGGCTCTGCGGCTTCGGGGTACCACCTGCGGCCATGCGCGCTCGTATGTTGGCATTGTAGGGAGATCCTTGACCGTTCTGGTCGTCGGCGGGTACTGGAGTCATGTTGTTTCCTTCATGTGTTCCCTGTATCTTGGTCCCGAAAGCTGCGCTCGTTTGCTGTGCAGCGGCTCTATATCTCGCTTGCTCGGCGTGGAGGCGCTGCTGGTCTGTCCTTGCAACGGCTGTATTGTATCCAGTTAGAGAATTCATAGGTTGTTGAGGGAGGTGGCTACCATTCGGATAATGCTGACGGTTGATCGGAGGGGTGCCAGGCACGTTCTGGTGGGGAGTCGATCCGTAGTACCGTTGCTGCTGTTGGTGTGGAGTTGGCGAATTGTATTGACCAGCCTGTACTTGGGGCGACATGTTCCGCGATTGCATGTTGTTAGCACCATTGGCGTAGTAGCCTGCGTAGCCCTGAGAAGGCGTGCTTGGCTGTTGTGGGAAAGATTGTTGGTAGGGCTGCTGGAAGCGAGCATTGGGCGTGCCGTGTGAAGGCGTGCCTGCGTAACCAGAGTATTGTGGAGGTCGTTGTTGAGATCCATACTGAACACCCTGGTGACCATACGGTGTTTGTGCCTTTCCGACGTGCTGCGCATAGTTGGTGTATCCATTGGTGTTCCGGTAATTGCCCGGCTGACCGGGACGGGGCTGCTGCGCATGAGGCATCTGGTGGGGGGCACCGCCCGGACGAGGAACGGAGCCTTGCTGCGGGGGCATGGCAGGCTGCTGTCCCGACCGGTAATAGCTGGAGGGCGCGATTGAGGGTGTTCGGGTGGGGGTTCCGTATTGCGCCGCCGCGTACTGGTTGCTGTAGGGGGTGGATGCACTAGGGGTTCGGTGAGGGGCAGGCCGGTTCGACGGAGCAGAAGCGGCGGCGCTTTGCTGTTGACGCATCCGGGCTTGCGTTGCAGCATCGTCCTCCATCACGCCCTTGTACTGATCTGTGCGGACCTCGAGCTTGGTGCTGATGAGAAGCTCCTCAAGTTGGTCACCATTGAGCTTAGCCACCGCGTAGGGAGGGAGAGTGCCGACAATCAGACTCAGTTGAGCCCTCAGTGCTTCGTACGTCATCGTCTCCTCTTCCGTTGGTGCCGAGACAACACCGTGAGAAAGCAAGTCGCCATTGACGGGATCGCCTGCGTAACGATTCTGTGATGATGGCAATGTGAGGTTGCGGATGCGCTGATACGACAGCAAGGTCTCAATCATGTCGGTGACTTCATCAAGGAATTCGTCAACCTCCTTGTCGGCGGGGTCCTTATCCTTGGGTTTCGACAGGACCTCGTTCATGTCTTCCAGCGCCGGATCCACCAGCCATTCATCCCACTTCTCAATCGCCTCAGTGACGAACTCCTCGTCCACGTTCTCAGTCTCGGCCTTCTCACCAACGTGGTTCTCAAGCGTGTCATCATCATCGACTTCCTGCAACTCGGATTCGATGAGGCGATTGAAGTTGCGCTGTCCAGTAAGCTGCCAGTACATGCGACCAGCATGGCTGGACGGAATGACGGAGCCGGAATCGTCTCTGACGGGCGCAAAGCTGGAGAATGCGCTGCGAAACAAGGACTCCATTTCGTTAACCTCAATTTCGGTAGATGAGGGTCGGTGACCTGCAAGACTTTGAGCGCGTTCTCGCTGTCTGGTCTTGCTCTTAGACGAAGGTGCCGCGTTGGTGTAGTCCAAGTAGCAACCGACTGCGACCTTTTTGCTAGAGTAAGATTCGTTGTAATACTTGGACTTTTGCGCCGGCTCGGGATGGTAGAAACCAAGGACGTTTCCCTTGACCAGCTGCTTGGGTTGCTTAGGCGGCTGCAGTGGAGGGAGAGGTCTGCTCGAGGAGAAGAGCTCTCCGAGAGTAGCTGATCTTTCGCTCTGGCGAGAAGGAACAATGTAGGTTTTCGATATGCCTAAGGGAAGTTCCATAGACGATGCCTTTGCAGCCAAGCTCTCCTGTCCCGGGGCCTTCTTGGGCAGACTTGAGAAGAGTTGCTTGCCGTGAGGGCCAGGGCCAACGACCGTTAAGACAGCGTTGCCTGGAGTGAGTTCCGGGGCCGGTTTGATGTTGCTGACGTTCACAGCGGTGCGTGGGTACGATATCTCCCTTCGAAGGAGGTCCATGGCCTTCTGCTGAAACTCCTTGGTCTGCACCACAGCGCCGCCATCAATGACTTCCTTGTCCTTCTCAACCTTGTCCGATTGAAGTTCCTGAAGTTGATCTTTGACGGCTTCGACGACATCGGCCGCGAGTTCGTCGACATGCGAGTACGAGTCGTGGTTGACCTTGTCGGCGATGGTGGCTGGGCTATCGGCGGACTTTTGGCGTTTCGCGTCGGGCTGCTCTGCATCGGGTTCGGGAAGGCGACGCTTCAGAATTGACGGGTTTGCATCGAAGCTTTGGACTGCATGTCAGTACAATGCGGCCTCGGGGCTGACGAAGGGGGAATGGGCGCGCAGCCAAGGGCGCAAAGGGGGGGCGCGGCAGTCGTACCTGCTAAGAACAGCAAAATAGTTCTTGATGAGGGGTTTATGATCCTCCTTTGGGGCTTCAGCATCAACTTCCATCTTCTCCGGTCCATCGCCGTTGACCTCGTCACCCTCATCCTCGGTGTCGCGCTTCCTCTTCACAGGGACGACGGGCTGGGGGGACTCAGCATGGTCCGGTCCAGGGATGCCGTTTGCCTGGACCGAATCCGGCTGCGCCATTGTGAAAATCGTCGTCGTGAATTGTGGTTGTGGCTATCGATGGGAATTGTCGCGATGCCAGGGCGTTTCGGGCGGTTCGTTCTGTCGATGTCGCGCGGGACGACGGGGGTGGTAGGTAGCCTAGTGGAGGGCGGGATTGTCGCGACGCGCGAGGTTCGTCGGTCGCTCGTCTTGGTGGAACTCCAAAACCTTTTTTCGTCAAGCGTCGCGAGGCCAGGCGTGTTGGGGAACCTTTTCATCCAAGAACACACTCAAAGACAAGCAACGGTACTCGGAAAATGGATGGGGTCCATCAAAGTCGCCGTTTTTGGATTTTTCTCGCCTTGCAAATGCTCCTGGAGCAATTCCCCTGCGTGACTGTCGGGAGGCTATACTGGAAAATTGGACAGAACCACGGGTCCTTGTTGGTTGCTGGCGAAAAGGCACTGAGCTGAGGTCAGCAGCGATTGGCCTGCCGATCCGAATAAGCGGATCCGTTACCCACGTGATGATCTGGCCCGTGCAGAGAGAAGAGTGGGCTCCACGTTACGCTCACACCTTGGTGACTTGATGTTCAGTTGAAGTACCTTTACGGTTGGTAGGAACGCTCTCATTTCAGAGTTGATGCACAGAGGGTAGCTTGTTGAAGCTTCCTTCTAATATTGCCAACAGTATTATTGATTTTGTTAAATACATGGCCTATGAGATGTCCGCAACATCGCTACAATGCGGGAATTGTGATTCTATGAACCTCTGCAGCGCAGTTCGAGCTCCTTAAAGGTGAGCCTAGTTTCACGTAGATAATGCACAATGACACAGATGCTCAAAGACGAATGCTACTATTGGTATCCTCACAATGGTGTCCAGACTAGCTACCTATCGTAGTTACATTACAGCCGCACCCTGGATCTGATTGACCGAGTAATCGACGTGTTCTCAAGGAAATGGGGTTAGGAGTAGGCATTTATTTCTTAGCCTTGGCCAGACCAACGGCGTTCTTGCCGAGGTCGTAAACAGAGTACCACCGGCGCAGGAAGGCATCTCCCAAGATGACAAGGGGGCCGACCGGCTCGGGGAAGTCCATGCCCTGGAAGGTGGAGATGCAGCTGCCAGAGACCTCCAGGACATAGTCGTAAGCGGAAATGCTGAAGTTGTAGCCAGAGAGAGTGAAGGTGATGTCGGGAAGCTCGTCACGCTTGGAGCACTCAACAGAGTACTGGCCGTTGTAGCCCTTCTTGGCACCGATCTCCTTGTTGAGCAGCTCAGCAAGAGCAGAGGGAAGGACGTTCAGAGAAGTACCGGTGTCAAGGATGGCACCGTGTCCCTCAAGGTCAGCGGTCTCGTCGCCAAGGGTAATGGCATCGAGGTCAACCTCCCAGTAAGCCTTGCGGCGGAGGGGGATGTAGGTGATCTTGCCCTCGTAGTGAGAGTCATCGAGGCCACCAAAGGTAGCCTCGCTCTCATCGCCCTCCTCGTTGGTGTCGCCGAGGTAGAAGGCGAAGACAGGCTCGTCAATAGCCTTCTGGTTAACAAGGTTGTAGAAGGGGGGAACAATCTTGTTGACGGAAATGGTGTCGTAACCAAGACCGAGGATGCCGTCGAAGCGGCCGAAGGCAAAGGCAAGGCCAGGCTCGCTGGTGGCCTCGGCAAAGTCCTGCTTCTTGATCTTAAGATCGCCAATGGAGACGTCATCCTGGGAGACGAAACCAGTCAAGCTGCCAGAGCCGTAGTGGATCTCGAACTCGGAGCCGTTGGACTTGTAGGTGGACGACGACGAAGAGTCATACTTGGAGTGCAGGTAGCATGCAATGCTGCCGCACTGCTGGGAAGGAACCCACAGGTTGGAGCTACCAGTGTCCAGAACAACCTTGAAGGTCTGGGGAGGAGTACCGATCTCGATCTCGGAGAAGTCTGAAGTGCGCACGTTAGTTGACTGATGGTACCTAACAACGAGGTGAATGAGACATACACTGAGCGTTCATGAAGTTGCTCACAGGCACGGGGTGCTCGCCAGTGCTTGTGAAAGGCTTCTGGTTGAACATGGCATCGGCATGGCTGTCAGGGCGGGCGCCCATGTACTTCTGGCCGAGCTGTCTGACTTGGTGCTCGATGGGAACAGAGTTCTGAGGATGGCGGCAGTCAGTAAACATTATTGCGGATATACAGGATGATGGGCCGAACATACAAGCTGCTCCTCGATGGGGACCTTCTTCAGCTTCAGCTTGTGGACTTCGGCCTGGGCCGCGCCCAACAGCACGGCCGCGGTGAGGAGAGTGCTCTTCATCGTGGCTGTCAACCTCGATTACCCAGATTACGATGGTTTTTTGGCGCCCTGCGTCTTCGTGCTGGTGATACTGAGGAGATGGCGGTTGAAACGGATGGGGGGGATGATGATGTGTTGACGGGGGGAAGATGCGGAAGCTGGGGCGGCGCCTGTACCTATTAAGTAGGTAGGTACCTTTGCTGTGGCAGGCAAGTGTGGCAGGCTACCCAGACCAGACTTACCTTAGCAACTGCGCCCCCGTGACAACCTGCCCACTCGCCTCCGCAAGGCACGAAGGACCATGACGCAGCACCCGATAGGTGCAGGTATCTTATCTGCCTATCAAAAGCTGGGGTTGGCTGTGTTGACCCACTTTAGCTGGCTGGGGGAGCAACCATGGAACCTAAGACGGCGCGGAGCTGCCCCAACTCGCCCAAGGCACGCAGCGAGTTAGAAGCCCGAGACAGAGCTCCTGGCAGCTCTCACACACTCGGTGACACTGACACTCACACTGCTCCCGTCTCCGTCTCTCACACTCGCAGGGTGATGCGGCTGCCACTACGGGGCTTGCGTGTCCGATCGCGTGTCCCTGCAGCCTTCTACACCTCGATGCCGCTCAGTTGATCCTGCGCTGGAGAGAGATGCGCTGCAGCATTGCTGAACGCGCCGGAGTGCAAGGTAAGCAACGGGCTAACATTGCGACGGGGACCTTGACATCACGCAACGGGGTGGATTGATGAGATAAGGAAGATAGCTCAGCTCGCCTTCGGTAACCGATTCCCTGACTCTCTCTCTTACTCGGGTATCCGTGGGCCAAGCTTGGCTTGCTTACCTTATTGCTCCAACATCCGAAGCGTGCCGCGTGCCTGAAAGCCCAGCTGCCTGCATCTGGACGGACGCCTTGGTACCTGAGGCCATTGAATAGATCCTCCGCTAGGCTGTCTCGGAGCTCGGGGCCAATGTGGATGCGGTCCAGATGAGTCAGCAGTTCCTGGAGGAGAGCGTGACCCATGTTGTTGAGCTAAGGTATCGAGGCCTTCCAGGTTCTCTCGCGCCAAATGCGCTTTGGAGATGGACTAAACTGCACGCAGGTAGTCGCAATTGCCTCAGTGTTGGCCCAGCTCACACTTTGTAACTGCCTCAACTCAAAGCTGGAATCTCTTGGTTCACGTCAAAGCCGCATAGAGTTTGATGTGAAAAGTCTTGAATTATCTAGAGTTGCCGTTCAGACACTGGCCAATCACAGGTGCGCTTGAAATGAGCTAGGAGAAATGCAACTGTCTTGACTCTCACCATTCGCCGACATCGCAACTGTTCCATCTTGGGGTCTTTGGTCGTTCTCATGTAGTCCAAGTGCATCAAAGTTGCGATGAATGGTTCTTTTGAATGCAGACTTGCCTCGCCCACTACATCGTCCCTAGCACAGATTTTCTATGATCGAAGCTATAGCTGAGCGCTGAGACGGAATATCGCTGTCTGTTTCAAAAATGGCTCTTCCTTCTCGGGTGGTTTTCTCGACGCGATGCCCCCAGTTTCCCCCAATTTGTCGAGAACGAGGTGGCTGGAAACTCACTCACGACGCACATCACTCGGGAGAAATCGTGCGAATTGCCATTCTTTTCGGGAAGAGCTATGCGCATGCTGTTGAGTCACAGTTCAATTGCCACAAATGGTCCGCTCGTAATATTGTCCCGGCTCACCCGAAGCCTTCCTGACTGAAGCTCTAGAGTCGGAAGTCGTGAGACGGTTGAGGCGGGGGAGGTACGAGCAGCTACACTAAACGGTCCAACCACATCCCCGTCGTCGTGAAATGGGGTCCGTTTCCTCGATGACTCGTGGAACCGTTCCAGAATCGGAGTCGACAAAACCCGCCACAGGCTGTGAGTTCAGGGAAACGTCAGGGAAGCGCCGTTTTAGCGTTCCAACCGTGAACCACTTACAAAGTGGTGAGCCATACCGGGAACCACAGGGAGCCCACCAAAGGCCCAAAATGCTCCAAGCTTGCGGTCGCAAACTGTCGAGCGATCCCAATTTAGCGAACCAAATGCCTCCGAATTGTCCCTGCCATACCTTAGGTTCCTTAAGGAAAGGTAAGTATACTAGTACTTCGTACCTACGTAGTATGCGTAGTATGCCTGTCCATTGTCAAGCCATCAGTCGACTATCGAGGGGCCGCCACAGTTTTTTTTCTCCAATTCCACCGCGTACTGCGTACGACTACGAAGTAAGGTACTTACAGCTCGACCCCGCCAATCACACCCCGCCAACCCCCACCGCTTCAGCATTCGATTCACATTTTGCTCCCTCCGATGTTCTGCCAAATTTTCTCAAGCTTTTTTCCCATCCCTTCATAACCTTGCTGGCCTCCCTCTCTTCCTCTTCTTTTCCTACATCTACTTCTCTTCTTGCCATTGCTTGCGAGAATTTCTCTCTTCTCTTCTTCAACTTCACAATTACGATCCTTCGTAACACCACACATCACAATGGCTGCTACTGGTTCCTACTCCCTCCCCGTCTCCCACAAGGAGGTACGTCTACTCTTTCTTTGCCCCGCCATGCTTTACAGAGCTGTATACTGACTCATTGATAGATGTTGGAGAAGTCTCTCATTGACTCCGACCCTGAGGTTGCCGAGATCATGAAGGACGAGATCAAGCGCCAGCGCGAGTCCATCATTCTCATTGCCTCCGAGAACGTCACCTCCCGTGCCGTCTTTGATGCTCTTGGATCGCCCATGTCCAACAAGTACTCCGAGGGCCAGCCCGGTGCCAGATACTACGGTGGCAACGAGCACATCGACCAGATCGAGATCCTTTGCCAGAACCGTGCCCTCAAGGCCTTCAACCTCGACTCCTCCAAGTGGGGTGTCAACGTCCAGTGCTTGTCTGGCTCTCCCGCCAACCTCCAGGTCTACCAGGCCATCATGCCCGTCCACGGCCGCCTCATGGGTCTTGACCTCCCTCACGGTGGTCACTTGTCCCACGGCTACCAGACCCCTGCCAAGAAGTACGTTACCTTACGCTTGCCACACTTTAGCGAAGAATCATGACTGACTCTCGTTCCCAACAGGATCTCTGCTGTCTCTACCTACTTTGAGACCATGCCCTACCGCGTGAACCTCGACACCGGCATCATTGACTACGACCAGCTCGAGAAGAACGCCCAGCTCTTCCGTCCCAAGGTCCTCGTCGCCGGTACCTCTGCCTACTGCCGTCTGATCGACTACGGACGCATGCGCAAGATCGCCGACTCCGTCGGTGCCTACCTCGTTGTCGACATGGCTCACATCTCCGGTCTCATTGCCGCCGGCGTCATCCCCTCCCCCTTCGAGTACGCCGACATCGTCACCACCACCACCCACAAGTCCCTCCGTGGCCCCCGCGGTGCCATGATCTTCTTCCGCAAGGGCGTCCGCTCCGTCAACGCTAAGGGCCAGGAGACCCTCTACGACCTCGAGAACCCCATCAACTTCTCCGTTTTCCCCGGTCACCAGGGTGGCCCCCACAACCACACCATCACTGCCCTCGCCGTTGCCCTGAAGCAGGCTGCCAGCCCCGACTTCAAGGCCTACCAGCAGAAGGTCATTGACAACGCCAAGGCCCTCGAGAACAAGTTCAAGGCCCTCGGCCACAAGCTCGTCGCCGACGGCACCGACTCCCACATGGTCCTCCTCGACCTCCGCCAGTTCAGCTTGGACGGTGCCCGTGTCGAGGCCGTTCTCGAGCAGATCAACATCACCTGCAACAAGAACTCCATTCCCGGCGACAAGAGCGCTCTTACCCCCTGCGGTCTCCGCATCGGCACCCCCGCCATGACCTCCCGTGGATTCGGAGAGGCCGACTTTGAGCGCGTCGCCAACTACATTGATGAGTCCATCAAGATCTGCAAGGAGGTCCAGGCTTCCCTGCCCAAGGAGGCCAACAAGCTCAAGGACTTCAAGGCCACCGTTGCTGGCGGCCAGGTTGCCAAGATCAACGACCTCCGCAAGGAGGTTGCCGAGTGGAGCGGCAGCTTCCCCCTCCCTGTTGAGGGCTGGCGCGTTGACGCTGGCATCTAAATCATGCCAGCGGCTTGTGTGGCGAGAATTGGCCCACGTATGCCAGGGAGCATGACGTGGGAAAAGGAGTGGATCAAGGGAGGAATCGATATATACCACTCTGGGCTTTGATTATGCCCAGTTCAACAAAAATGGTTCAGAAGGGAATAAGCGTGGGGTGATCCCAATCGTCAAAGGGGTCCGGGTTCCGCGCATGACATTTAACATGGCTCATGAACAAAGGGAAAATGTGCTTCACAGACTACTGCTGCATTTTACATAGGCGTTGCAAATATCTCAAGCGGAAAAACAAATACCGGGAAGGGTAGAACAAAAATTCTGGGGGCGGGAGTTGGGGGTGGCGTTCTCAACTGCGGCCATATTTTAGGTAGCTGACTGCTTCAACGCGGTCAATCGCTCAATGCAATCAACACGTTGACAAGCAAGCATATGTGTCTTTTACTTGTGATCTATTGATATTTGAAACGTCGCCGTTGCGCCCTGTTTGTGGCGTTGAGACATTCGAAAGTTAGCCTCGAAGCCATCTGTGACAATATTCCATGTCCAACGTTGGATAACGACGAGGAAGAGTTAATTCGACATTAGCGTTCTTTGATGAAGAAGCTCCGTTGCAAAGCATTGTTCTCGGCTTGAAAGCTATTCCGTTTGTACCTACTTTACAATGGACTTGTCTTTCTTTATACACGACAGCTGCCCATTCAAATTGTCTGAACTTACACAACGAACCTTTCTTCTTGGCACTTGTCCATTCACAACGAGCTTGAGGCCGTCCCACGCAACTGTCTCGAAGACTGGTATACATAGCCAACAGTCCTGTCCGAGGTTTCCATCTCATTCTCCTCTCGACAGATCAGACAGCAAACACAAACACTCTACAACAATACACCATCTGCTCGAACACACCTAGACATCAACGCATCCATCGTCAAACTTGTAAGTCACCAACCCCCAACTAACGAGTACAGTCCATCATCTCCCGCTCTCATCCACCTAAGCAGAACATCACATCTTAGTCCCGAAGTCCAAGTAAGCTTCCACCACAAAAATGACTAGACTAACATCCCTCCCCGTCATCCTCCTCGCCCTCGCCAACATCACACCAGGCTTGACATTCTACATCCCTCCTTTCCTAAAGCACCAAAACAGCACAAAAGTAACCTACCACATCCCACCTCCCCCTCCATCATCCTCATCTCCATCCTCCCCCTCGGACAGCATCAGCAACATCTCCAACCTCCAAGCAACAGATCCCTCCACGCCACCAACAGGCCCCTTCTACTTCCGCGGCAACCGCCGCTACGAGGACGAAATCTGCGGCGCCTCCTCCTTCGTAGGCATAACTCGCTCAACATCTCCCCTCACAACAGATTGCCTCCTCCTCGCCGACGAGGCAGCAAAAGAGCGCTACGTCTGGTACGTCCGCGGCTTCACCGACAACACCACCATCCTCGGCATCCGCACCCACGGCACCTGCAACTTTGGCATCCGCCCGCCCTACGCGGATGCCCTCCCGAGCATCAAGACGGGGTGGTACGTCGGCGGCGTGGACGTCGCGGAGGTGGTCCGCACCGCTGTGCGAGACTATAATGTGAGTGGACAGACGGGCGCGAGCGGGATGATGCATTGCTGGGCGAATAGGGAGAACCATGTTGATGTGCAGTGGGCTATTTACGGTTCTGGGGAGCAGGGTGAGGCGGGTTACTTTTGGGCGCCGCCCGTGCCGGTGAAGTCGGGTGCTCCTGGGAGGGGAGGGTTCGTGAGCACGGGTGTGATTACAGGTGTGTCGGTTTTCTGGTTGTTGTTGTTTTGGTACATTGTGAACTGAGTATGGTAGAAGTATGGTCGTAGGCACTTTGTTTGGTAAGTCGCAAGAGAAATGATTCAAGTTTTCGTTATTATATGGACTTCGACCAAGGCGTCGTATAATTGGAAGTTCAGTGAGTGTGTCACCAGTAGTGGAAGTTAAGCTTCACTTGAAGTTCGGCTTCCTGCAAGTTCCAGGCAACATCATGATTTCATGTGAAAAGCATCTCTCACTCACTTTAGGATATGTCCCCTTTGCCTAGCGCTTTTAGGTCTGAACTTGTGGAAGTGGCTCAGCAGATCGTGTATAAAACGAGAAAGCATATGCTACTCTATGCCAGCTGCTGCTTTCGCGATCCCGCCAATTCTAAGTTTCGTGTCATGTTGCCTCATACAACTTTCCGAGTCGTCAGTAGCACGGGCCCGTACCCAGACCTTGATGGGTTATCCAGACTGTCGGGATCGTGCACAGCTCGCACACTTGTGCTCCTATGAAGAAGATTTTTGGCGTCGTGGCTGCAACGTGACTCAATGGTATTCTGGTCTTGCTTATGGAAAAGAAAGGTGTGATCATAGCTATTCTACAGAAAACGTCGACATCATCATAACGAAGCTCTGTGCAACCTAAACAACGTAGCATCGAACCTTGATCTACCGGAGGCGTTCACGCCCATACCTCGGTAGCTATCGAGAACCACAACATGTTGCATTGTTGACGCTCATATTTAGAACCGTGACACCGTGGCGAAGTTCGTAAGGCGAATAGTCACCTCGAAAGGTCTGAAAGACTGCGTGGATATGTGATCTGTTAGGCAAACCCAAGCGAGGCTGAACTTTGATCCGATGTGAACGTCAGATCACCAGCCCTTTGACGAACGTGTTCGTCTTGAAATGGTTTCGAATGAGATGGAATTTTAGCTATGAGGCAAGGAAACTTTGTGAACCTCAATGGTCGATCTAAGTGAAATTGCCGAGGCAAATGAGGGCACAAGGAGGGGGAGGGGGTCGAAACCGAAAACTTCAACTTGCCATGATGCCCACCAATCTGGATTATGTGTCGTTGCCTCGAAGCAAAACAAGCCGTATTCTGGGTTGCAGTACTGGTTGATCTGTGGCTATTTGTATAGCAACATCACACGAGGCTTTGTCAAATGGTTGCAATGGGAACACGGGAACGAGGCGCTTGCATTTTGTAATGAAGCCAAGAGGAGCGGTCTGAAAGTCTCAGTTTCCGTAGCTGTCCCTTTTGGCTAGGGCAGTAGTCAAGTATTGGCGTCGCAAACTAGTTCCGATGGCAGCCGTTGAGAGTTTGTAGGCGCCGTCCTGAGTCAAGACGGCGTCACGAACTCGCGATAATCGGAGGGAGATCCACTTGTCGCTGGTCAGCTGTACGATTCTTCACCGTATCATCGGATGGCATTGGGAACCATGAGAGGTGATGCAACCAAACCCGTGTTGCTTGAGAGTCGTATCCGACGGAGCAAAGAGTCGTGTGAGGCCTGCTGAGAGCTGAGAAACAAAAAACCAATGTTGCATTGTCGTTGGGCTGTCAAAAAAAAAAAGTCAGAGAATAGCAGGCGCTGCGTTGTGTCACAGGAACACACCCATGAAGCAGCCTCTCTCGAGGTTTACCCGCTTTAGAGTGTGTTCAGAACTCAAGTTGCATATGCCAAGATGCCCGGCCAGTGCTGTATGAGTAACTGAAACTAAGAGCACAAGCGGCCGTGTCGGCGCTGCATGATGCATATCTGGTAGTGACGGGATGGATCGAGACAGAGAGACAAAACAGTGGCTTGCGCTAGGCTGAATATCCGTACCTTAACTCAACGATATTGCGGGTGCTTGAGCTCGAGGACTGTTTCGATATTGCCGCTTCTCTTTGAGTCACCAGACCAGCCTGGTGTGTGCAGCGCATTCGCTCATCGACATAGAGCGAGGGCAATGAGTTCTTCGCCCCAGGTAGGACTCCATGTCTCCTCATTCGCTCTTCATTGGTGGGCCGCTCAGTGGTTCAGCTTCAGCGAAGCCTAGTGAGTCAACATTTGAACATTTTATCACGACTGGCGTTGCAAGTCGTTGCTGCTTACGTAGCCGCTCTTCTTCATCGCCTGCGCCTGCGGCTTCACCGAAATGGAAACAAAAGCGACAGGGTGGCGGCGCCCTCGTCTTCGCATTACACTTCAGTGTCTTTTCGGGCGCATTTTTCTCGTGTTGCTTGTTGTTATACGTGGCCTGGACCTAGCGCCCGGCTGATCGCGACCATTTTCATGCGGCAAATCCGGAAGTTGAGCCATCACTCTCACGAGAGCTTCTGGACGACATGACAGAAACAGCACAGACGTGGGCGAATGTCTCTTGCTTTGCTGCGGGCTGCGGGAAGGATGGAGATGGACAGAGACAGGTATGTCAGAGACACAGAACGAGAGGAGCAGAGCAAAAGGGCAAGAGATCAAAAGGAGACGAAATCGGTGGCGCCGGTTGTATGTTTCAAAACGGCAAGTCTCTAGCGGCGTCGCTACCGTCCTCCACGTTCCTTCTTCTCATCGTCCTCCTCCTTCTTCTCCTTCTCCTTCTGTTCCTTGGGTGTGTCGTGGGTGCCATGTACTTGTGAACTTGTGGGTGTGTCTTCAAAGTCGGACGGCGGGTGAGGCGTCGTTGCATCGATAGTGGGGGACCCCGGCCATCTCGCGCCTGCAGATGATGTGCCGTGACGTGACGACCAAGTACACCATCCGTAGCAACTAGCAGGGCCAGGGCACCAATGGATCTTCGAATCCTTCCCCAAACTGCCCAAACTGCCCCTTCGCTGTTGCATTCTGGGGTTAATTTGACCTCCCGAGCTCCTCCTGGCAGGGGGCACTTCACAACAGGTGTTCCATTATCCATCACGGCGCACTTGTCCCGACTAAACACCCCTTTAGCGGAACTTCCATCTGTTCAAGCTTACCATTACCCCCTGAGTCCTCAAGTTGGGTCTTGTCTCTTCTTTCCTGTCTTCGATCGTCATTTGGGTTCTCCCCGCGTCTGATGTGGCTCGTGATATCTCTTCTCTCTCTTTCCGTTATTCTCTTCTTTTCTCCACTGGCCTGAACCGCGGTTCCTGTGTGACCAACTCGCCCGGCGTGCTACGCTCCATCACCAGGACGTTCACGGCCCATCCGCCTTCTCTGTTATTTAACTTTCGCAGCCTACTTATGGCGCTGCGCCTTCCCAGAACTTGAGACCGAGGCGCTCGATGCTGCTTGGTCAACTCGACGCGCAATATCATCCGCCTCATCTTGGCTCTCAGCTTTGGATTTCTACGACTAGGTGGCAGGAGTTCCTTAGTATAAAGACTGCCCTTCCACCCTCAACCCTGACTCTACGTTGAGCCGCATAAGGTAGTCCAAGAAGCCCATGAGCATCAGCAAATCGTAGAACAACAAGCCGCATTAGTGGGAAGAAAATAAGCATTCGGTAGAGAACCCCCCTGCTGCTGACTCGGACTCGAGCAAGCAAGTATGGTAAGCTTTCATCTCATTCTCCCCATTTGTGTTACGGAACGGCCCGCCGCTATGCTCGGCAGCATCCTTGTTACACCCCGTTCCTCTTCCTCATCCCCCTTCCCTTTCCTCTAGTCCTTCTCTCGGCTGTCAGCTCGCGCCCTCTCTTTTTGTTGCTGACGTATTTCAAATAAATACAAATATGGCTCTTGGTACTGACCATCATAGGGGTCCATCAATAAGCAAGTTGCACGATACGAAATCAGCGCTGTCTTCACTCATCCTGACGCCTCCGTCGATATCGTCCTGGTACATGGTCTCAATGGTCACCCGAAAAGTACATGGACTTCCTCTTCGTCTTCGTCTCAACATAATGAAGGTGTGTTTTGGCCCACAGATCTACTACCGCAGTCTCTAGGAAAGACTCGCGCCAATATCTTGGTCTATGGCTACAACGCAGACGTCTATACCACCGGTAAAAGCACAAGTGCAAGTGACAACTTCATCTACCAACATGCTCAGACACTGGTCACAAACCTCACCCTCTATCGTAAAAGTGAGCGCACAGACAAGAACCCCATCATCTTTGTCGCACACAGCCTGGGCGGCATTCTTGTCAAGCGAGCCCTCATTTATTCCAATGACTTGAGAGACAAGAACCAAGAGGATGCCAGATCTATCTTCGTCTCCACCTTTGGAATCATTTTCCTGGGAACGCCACACACCGGATCTGACATGGCAACATGGGGTATCGTTCTGCAAAAGATGGCAGACGCCATTGCGCCTAAGAAAATGTTTGAGAGCGAGTCGGTGCTCCTCAAAACCTTGAAGAAGGACAACGAGACTCTGCAAAACATCAATAGCCACTTTCTCGACTTTTACCAGCGTTTCAAGATTCACATGGCCCATGAAAACCACAAAACGGATATCAGAGGAACGATGGTGACGGTGGTTGATGCGAGTTCGGCCAGTCCGCAACTTCCAGGCGTTGTTTACTACGGCATCGAGGCCCCTCATTCCGGAATGTGCAAGTTCAACAGCAGCAGCGCTCCTGGATACAGAAACGTTTCAACCGCTATTCGGACGTGGGCAGAAGAGGCTCCGCCAGTGATTCGAACCCGCTGGGACATTGAAATGGACGACAGGAAAGTCAGAGCACAATCCGAGGCAGCCGAGATCACCCGCGAGTATGGCAGTCCTCGAGAGACTATGATTTCAGGTATGCTCCCCCTTTCCGGAAAATCATACCATAATGGAAAGCCAATCATAAATTTTCAGTCTGACACATGCATCAAGAATACAGATATGTTCCAGCAGCTCAACAATCGTCACCTGTTGACACGACAAGCACCCGATCCGCTCCTGTTTCTGACTCTGCTACCCAGGTCCTGAACTTTGGTCCTCACTTTGTTCATCCCGACCGGTTCCGACCCAACTCGTTTTTCAAAGGGCGAGAGGACTATCTTGCAGATCTTCACAAATTGTTGAAAGACCCGAAGAGGCGTTCAGAGGGGACATCTGCGGTTTTAATTCAGGGCATTCCTGGTGTCGGGAAAACACATCTTGCTCGACAGTATTACTTCAATCACAAGGACCAGTATTCCGGGGGCGCATACTGGATCAGGTCTACCACGTTGCAAGATATGGAAGACGGGTTCTGGCGCATTGCAAAAACCCAGGCTATCAAAGGCATGGCTGCTCAAGGACATAAGAAGGACTTGTTAAATCCACACAACATGGTCGATATCGTCAGACGGTGGTTCAATGAGTCAAGCGATTGGCTGCTAGTGTTTGATGGCATTCGCGTCAACGACAAAGCGATTCTCAAGTACATACCCGACCGGCCAAACAGCAGTCTCATCTACACATCAACTGATCGGTGTGATCCTGGGTCTCATCTTCTTGACAACCCCAGCATGATGAAGCTGCCTCTACCACCCATTCAAGACGCTCAGGAGTTGTTGCTCGAAGAAATGGGAAAGAAACACCCATACAACACTGATGATCTCAGACGAGCTCATGAATTGGTACAGCTGATGGGTCGCCTCCCTCTGATGATTCACGCCGCTGCTGTGAACATGAATACCACGAGGGAACCGCTTGCAAAGTATCTCAAGACCTTCCGGGACTCGCCAAAAGTTGGAGAGCTTCCTGCATACATGGCGATTCGAGATCAGTTGCAGAGTCGCGGTAATTACGCCGCGTTGAATTTGATCTACATACTCTCCTTCTTCAGTCAATTCATACCGGTTGAACTACTGGCTCTTGGCTTGGGAGCTTTGGACAAGCGAACACCCGTGAAGACGGAAACGACAAAGGGCAGAAGGAGTCTGACACAGACTTTCGTTACTTTGATAAGCTTCGCCCTTATCGAACGAAACGAAGCTGATGACGTCTCTTCCTCGAGCTCGCAGAGCGGTCTCGACACGACTCCTGAGCCTTTGGATACACTTCGTGTTCACAGTGTTGTACAGGCCTTCTTTATTGAGCTTCTTGCCAAGGAAGGACAGCTTAATTTCTGGCTAGAGCGGGCCATCCGCGTCTTCTGCGCATCGTTCGATGAGGCCTATATCAGGATGAACGACGAGCCTGCCACTGGCCTTCCCGAAGACTACAGACAATATATTCGACACGGCAGAAGGTTGAAGGACCTTATTGACCGCCATATCGTTGATCGCCCAATTCACGGGTCTACAGAACAACCCAGTTCGCAGTAAGTGGGAAAACATCTTAAAGTCCCATCGCAGCCCCCGTTATGCTCCAATGTCCTGCTCAAGTCCTATGGCTGAATAAATGTCCAGTCTCTTTGCTGTCTTATTTCCATCACCCTCTTCTGTTCATTCGCTACAACTCTAGGACAAGCTCGATGAAGCGTACTGACGTTCAGAAATAGAACCGGACCTGTGAATCTTGACGCTGCTCGAAAAGATTTAGAAGAACGACTTGCGAAGGTGCCTGCAGACCTTAACGATTTACAGAGGACTATATCTACCCGAATCATCGACGGAAAGGAGGCCGCCCATAATTCTGTTTTCGAGCGAATGAACAGTTTATCGTCGCATTCAACAGACGCCTCTGGTACCGCAGTACTCCCTCAATCACCAGGGGTCTACTCGGCTGCATTGGAGCAAGAATACAAATTGCCGCTGACCACCCACAACCCGCTTCACTTCCACATGCCTTATGTACCTTACGTGGATGAACAGGCATCTCCGGTTGAGTACCAGGAGTCCGAGGATCGAACCATAACTCCGTACCCGCCCGACATTGAAGAAGGTCCATACAATGACACGGCTGACCCTGCGTGGACTGTTGTGGCCAGACACCGGTCAGTGAAGAAAAGGTCACTGAGGCGCTACCATGATCGTGGAGGATCATGGAGAGAGACAGCCGTAGCGACAAATGATCCTCGTGTGAGCATCAGTCGGGAGTCTGCAAGAGGCCTCATCACCCCACCTCAGTCTTCCAGAGGCGGCAGATCACCCAGTCGGTCCAAAGTTTCCGCAAGAAGCGAAGCTGAGGCCGAACTACTTTACATCAAGAAGGGATCGCCACCACCACCTCGTGGCGGTGGCTACATACACGACAAAGGCAGAAGCTTCAGTGCCGGTACATCTGTAAGGCCAACCTCGATGCTTGGAGCTTCAAGTTACGCCAAGGCCGTGTCAGGAACCGCAGTCGAGGAAGAGGCCCCCTCATTTCCTACTTTCGCTTCTCCCCCTTCACGGGCCGCGACAATCGACAGGAAAGCTGCTTACGATGATCGGTCCGTCTACAGCCTACAGACCGTGAACAGCCGCACGCCTTCCACGGCTCTCAGGTTGAAAGAAAATCAATTTCCAAAGTTAACTGGTTCTGGAAATGCGTCTCAATCGACCGAACAGTCTCGCCAATCGCAGTTTCAAGAATCCACTTCGAAACCGTCTTTTCAAAAATTCCTGCGCCGCTTGGGCAGATCCGTCAGTGGGGGGAAGCGTCACGAAAAATCAGGCCCGGGAAAAGTTTCCTCTAGCGGTTCATCGATCTCGTCCATTCCGAGATCGTCGGAAGAACTCCCGTACACATATCAGGAGGATGTGAGAACAGCGAACTCCAGTCCGGGTCTGGCTTACTCACAACAATTTCCCTCCGGACTGTCTGTTGTTACAAACCAAGAGAGTAGTCTGCGACAGCATCCCCTCTACCGGCAGTCAAACTCCCAGCCACCGTACACATACCAGGATGAGTCTGACAATGATGTCCTTTCCCAGTCTGATCCATGTCTGAGCCGCCCAAGTCTGAACATTTTTCCCGCTGAGAATATGGCATATCGGCCACCGCCGCGGCAGGTTCC